GGGCCGTCGCTTCTGGCGCACCTACGCTCGGCACTTGACAGAGCATCGCAGGCAGCCCTCGTGGGCCCCCGCAGCACATCTCCGACCGCCGGGGCAGGACGAGCGCAGAGCGCTGCTGGGTTTCAAGCCGTCCTCTTTAGGCCGTGCTGCGAAAGCTTCCCCGTGAGCCTGCCCCACTGACGGCCGGTTTTCTGCCCTCTCCTTTCCTAGGTGCTGATCATCGGTGGTGGCGACGGGGGAGTGCTGCGAGAGGTGGTGAAACACCCGACCGTGGAGTCTGTGGTGCAGTGCGAAATCGATGAGGTGCGTTGGGCTCCCAGCTGCGCGGAGGTGCCCTGGGCCTTCGGTCAGACGGGCAGGCTGCCCAACAAAAAGCAGCCCTACTTCACAGCATCCATGGGAGTTGCTGCTTCACCTGCTGTCCCTTGTCAGCAGCGAGTGCATTTGCTGCCGGTTCTGCTGGCGTGACACTGACAGCGCCACCTCTTTGCCTTACAAGTCATCTACGTGGCAGCTGGCAGCCTCTTTCATGTGATTTCTTTCACACACGTACGGTAGAGGCCCTTCCAGGCCAGCGTGGGCCAAGCGTGGGATCTGGAGAAGGAGGGCTCTGGCTTTGTGAAGGTGCTGCTTTTCCCTCTCTCCAAACGCAGAACAGAGTGCTGCTCCTGCCAGAGGAGGATGGTCGCTTCATTAAGCAGTCTCCTGTGACTGAAAACAGGAAATAAGTGGGGGGTATTTGTTTCCGTGACAGATGGGCTGGTCCTCCTCCTCTCGGTCAGTTTGTTCTGATATTTTACTTTCTAAGAAAGTTTTGCTGTCTTCTCAAAGCGAGGCTGTATTAGTAATGGGAAATACTGCTGTATGAGACTGCGTACCTTGTCTGCCAAGCTAAGTAGACATATGTGCCTGGTTTTGCACAAGCACTGCCCGACACCAGCATATTTTTTTGTTTCTGCCAGCTGTGAGAAGCTGGTCGTGTTCAGTACGATTGCTGGGCCTAGGGCAGTCTAACCGTTGTAGCTGTTTTAGAGAGAAAACCGTATCTTATGAGGGGATTGATATAATGACTATAGAGCAGAGGTGGGAATATTTCTCATCTTGCATCCAGAAACCTGCTGGCATGGTTTTATTTAGGGGGGAAAAAAAAAGTCTTTAGTTGAGATTACCTCTGCAAGTGATGTCCACAGGGAAAAGGAGTACAGAGCAGTCAGATCTATAATCATATTCTCTTAGTTCCTCAGGGAGCTTTTGAGGCTGCAAGTTCTTGTTGAGTTTGGCAAGGACAGATCAACAGTGTCGCTGAACCCTGAGGCCATAGGAAAGGGCTGAGTGTAGCTTGCTGGCTGAAGATGCCGACAGCTCTTGAGGATCTAGCTAGCAAGTCGGATTTGTGCTGAAGGCATGGAAGGAAATGACTCATTGCGCTGTTCTTCCAGCTGCAGCTGCCCAGTAGCCTGAGAAGCAGCTCCCTGTAGTGCCCTCTGATCGACTTGTGCTCTCTGTGTTGCAGGATGTGATCCAGGTATCCAAGAAATACCTCCCAGGGATGGCAGTGGGGTATTCCAGCGCTAAGCTGACCTTGCATGTGGGAGATGGTTTTGAGTTCATGAAACAAAATCAAGAAGCCTTTGATGTGATTATCACGGACTCGTCTGACCCCATGGGTAAGAATTCTGGCCATAAAAGGGTACTGCTTTGCACACTCCTCCTCCTTTCCTCTTCGGCCTACGTCCTGGAAGTAATGCCAGCCTGCCCAGGCTCCTTTCAAGTGAAAAGACTGTCGCTGACTTGGCTTTTTTGGTAGAGAAAGGGAAGGATGAAGACCAGAAAATTGTATTAGCAAGGCTTCAAGCCAGCTGTCACATTTCTGTCCTCAAAATTCAACTCTAGCAGCTATTGCTTCTGGCAGAGGGTTGATCCTTGAGTCCAGTAATCCCACGGGGGATACAGCACCATGCTGGTAAAGACAGCTTTGCACATGTGCCTGCTAATGAAGTAGTGGCTCATGTGCTGTTGGTGTAGCTACCTCGCCTAAAGATGGCTGTAGTGAGGTTGCTGTATTTCTGAAGGGGGAAACTGAGGTAGAGAGGGAATGTAGTTATGGCACCTCATTTTAGGGACCTAACGACGAGTGCCTGACTCACCTTCACTCTCGCTATAGTCAGCAGAGAGAGGCATCTCTAAGAGGCAGTTTGCAGCAGGAGTTGAGTTTAAAAAATGCTCAGTGAAGCAAGAGGCAGCTGCTAGGACTTTTTTTGGTAAAGGTCCTGGGCTTGCTATTGAGCAGAGCTAAAATCCTGATGGTTCTGCTGTGCTAGGTGCAGGCTGGGGTTCACCCAGGGTCAAAAATTTTGCTTCCAGATTATATCCAACACTTGTGATCACCGAAAAAACATTTGAAATGTCTCTTTTCGAGTGCAGTCCCTGAGCAGCCTGGGCATTCGGAAAACTCTCAGAAGCCTACTATCTTAGTCTTGCCCTAGACATAACCTCTTCACTCGCTTTTCTCCCAGGTCCTGCAGAAAGCTTATTCAAAGAATCCTACTACCAGCTGATGAAGACAGCCCTGCGAGAAGATGGGATTCTTTGCTGCCAAGGTGAGGATGCTGTCTCTGGGCAGAGGCCGATGCCAGATCATTGCATGATAAGTGTGAGGCACAAAGGGGACTCTTCTTGGGGAGACACAACGCAGGGAGTGAAATCCGTTTCAGCTCCCAGGTACGGGAGCATTTTTGATCTGTATACGTCAACTCGTTAACTGCTGGACTGCGCTTAGTAAAACTGGCGTAAGGGTCTTATCTTGCCTTTGAAACCACGTAAGCTGTGCACAGTAGAGCAGGTTTGGACTTGGAACCACTGTTAACCTGGCACAGGCCTGTGCAGAGAAGAAGGGCAGCTCTTACCTTGCATCCTGTCTTCCATTCTCCCTGAAGGTGAGTGCCAGTGGCTGCACCTGGATCTCATTAAGGAGATGCGTCAGTTCTGCAAGTCTCTGTTCCCTGTTGTGGAATACGCCTATTGCACCATCCCCACGTATCCCAGCGGGCAGATTGGCTTCATGCTCTGCAGCAAGAACCCGGTGAGTTTCAGGCACCTGATGTGCCCTTTTCCCCTCTGTGAAAGCACCTGCAGAGCCTGCCGCAGGCTGTCCCTTACAGAGCTTGAGCTGTGGCACTGAGCTCTCCCATCTGTGGGGCTTCTAGACTCAGGCTGGGCCCCGGCTCCACCAGCCCAGGGCCCCAGAGCTGCAATGCAGCTTGCTCAGTGCTGAATGAAGTGCAGAACTGACCAGTAATGTAACCAGCTGCGTTAGAAAAGGACCTGGTTTTCTCTCCAGTACAACAAACTTGGAAGGGAGGATGTCGCTACCAATTTCCAGAGCCTGTTAAGGCTTTGGCTTTTTGATGCTGGCTATTATAAAGCGGGCACCTGCTTGATAAGAATCAGCTTGCGACTAGTAATCTGCTCATACAGAGGCCTCCAAGTGAGAGTCAGTGTTAGGATGTGGGCTGGTAACTCTGTGTCAGGCCACTGAGGTCTGCTCTCTTCCCAATCTGCTGCATTACAGCAAGCCTGTAATGCAACCGTCACGTTGGTTTAGGGAGCCAGTGGCACTTCTGCTGCTGTATTTTATTTATCTGGGGCACTGGCAGCATGCACTGTGCCTGACTTAACGCAGATGTGGCTTCTGCTCTGAAGAGCAAAAGCCTTGCTTCTTAGATGCTCAGGCACAATCTGACAGCTTCATCTGGCACGTGGCTCACATGCAGTCTGACCTCATACGCTGACATCTGTGAACAAGAGCTAGTCACATGAGGTACGGAGTGTAAACTCCAGCCCTTGGGGCTGGAGCTGTGCAGAACCTTTGACCTCATACTAGAACAGAAAGTCATCTGTTTTCCTGCGAGTCCTCTTGGTTCTCTGCCATGAATCAGGATGCCTGTCACACAGCCTTTTGCTCGTTACCCAAACACTACAGAGCTACCTGGCTTCTTTATTGCAGAACACAAATTTCCGGGAGCCTGTGCAGCAGCTCTCACAGCAACAAGTAGAGGAGAGGAGTCTGAAATACTACAACTCTGACATTCATCGGGCAGCTTTCATTCTGCCAGAGTTTGCACGGAAGGTAAGAAAGGCTGTGCTGTTTCTCCAGTTCCTCCATCAAGGACAAGGTACGACTTTTCTTCGGCAGGAGTGGGAGTATACAGGACTGAGGATTTCCTGCAGCCCTAAAGGCTTCTGTGAGCAAGTCAGGGCAGGACAGCATTTTGTATGACATAGCAGAGTATGAGTCAGTCTGGGAAGACTGGAGTTCAGTTTGGAACTGTTCTTTGGGTTGATGTCCCATGCCTTCGTGGCAGATCACTCCTACTTCACGTACCAAAACTAAGTCCAAGAGCCTCCAGAACTGGTGTTTCCCTTTGGAAAGCTCCAAAAGTCTTAGATAAAATGTGGTTGTAGTTTCTAGTGCAAACCCAGAGAGTAAAGAAAGGATGCTCTAGCATAGTCTGCCTTTTTGAAGGATAGTCTGTATTTCTGCATCATTCCGTCATCTCCCAACTGGGTTGCAATTGCAGGTTCCAGAAAAAACCTCCTCAGAGTGCCCCAGGGATGAAGGCAAATGCCACGGTTGTGTTTCAGAGCCATATTCCTGCAGAGGACCGGAAGAGCTGCAGCAGGTCCACGCTGACGCTTCTTTGTCTTTGGCTGTCTCCAGGCCCTGAGCGATGTGTGAGCCTGAGAAGCTGCTTCCTTCCTTCAAGTTGGACCCTGAGATCATCAGTGATGTGGTGGGGACCTTCCCAGCAGACTGCAGATTTGCTCTCCACTGTGTGGGATTGTTTAACCCTTTGCCAGCCAACATTCCTTTTGATGATGTGTTAAAGATGATGGGGCATAAGCCAGATAAGACTATTGAAAAGGTCCAGTGACTTATTGTGTGAGGTCAAAACTGTTCTTTCCAGTGCTGGAAACGTAAGGTGTCTTTTTCCTTTCTCTCCTCCCTGCACCCATTCTAAATTCTCCCCTCCCTGCACCCACCTCCACCCCCTGCAACTGACATGATATATTTATAACTGACATGTATTTCTGTCTGGTGATCTTCTGAAACCTGGGAAGAGTCCAGAAGGGTCACTGACTCAGCCTTAAGCACAGAGAGTGAGAGCTTTGTGCGCAAAGTTAGCTTGCTCTCTCCTAATAGGAGCTCCCTGCTGCTGAGACGTTTTGACTGGTAACGGGTCTGAGCCTTCATGTCCCACTGCCCTTCTGCGACACCTGCACTGTTCTGCAGCACAGTCGGAGAAGTCACAGTGCAAACTGTTGCCGTTCACAATAGGTCTCCCTCCAACCCCGATGGAGTAGCAGTATTAAACACCAGCCAGGCAGGCTGGCAGCAAAGTCTTGTGGCTTTTTTTTTTTTTTTTTTTTTCCAAATTGGTTGGAAACAGAAGTGCTGAGGTACTAACAGGCTGACTCCTGTTCTTACCTCTGCTGTCAGAGTGGTTCCAAAGAATGTTTATCAATATGGTGATAGGCGCTTTATATATATAAATATAAATATATATATATATAAAAAAAACCAAAAAACCTTAGATCCATTGCCTGCTGTTAAGTACTGATGTTGGGGAGTCAGTTGTGCTGACAAATCTCTCATCTCAGTCATGCTGAGATGCCTCAGGCCTGGGTATTTGCTAGTCCTTAGGAGGCATCATTATTTCTAATGCTGCCCCCAGAATCCCCAGATGCGTAAGCTGTTTTTTGTTGTACTCTGTTGTGAGACGGATCTGCCTTCACTTCTTTACTTTTGTTTTAAAGACTCCGTACCACCACTGTGCAGTGGGTATCTTCCCAGCACAACCACTGTGCAGTTGTCACTCCCTTGCAATCAATTAAACACTCGGCTCTGGTTAAGGTGACATCAGTGTGGGTCAGCGTGCTTCTTTGGGGAGAGTGTGGGGGTGGAAACAGAGATCCTAAAAGTTTGTTGTGCATGTCAGAAGACATCCTGCGGCGCTCTGTAGTTGATCTGACTTCCTTTCTCCCTTGCCTCTAGGGATGATCAGTTACCACCAAAAAATAAGCTCTGAAGAGTGATCCCATTGCATGTTTTGTATTGTAACCTCACTGCGATAGCTCCAGCTTCCATCATCCTCTATGCTGCAGAATTCAGTACTTTATATGCAAGCTAGTCTCTAGCCCAAATGCTGCCTCTGCTACAGCTTTCCAAGCTGTTTTGTAGCTGCCCATCTCCCTGCTAGCATCACATATTCCTGTCAATCACTGGCCCCACTCAGTTGCACCATCCTTTCCTCTGCAAAAATTGCGGTGGCTTAGTGGCTCCGTGGGCCTGAACCAAGTACTGAACTCAAGCTGAACAGGCTGGGAACAGTCGCTAGGTGGCATCAGGAGAAGACAAAAAAGCTCCTTCTGAGGGAGGCTTTTTGGCTTGATAAGAGAAAACTAGAAGGAGCAGACTTTGGCAAAGGTTGAGGTTGGGCTTTACCATAATCGTGACCCTACAAACAGCATAGATGGTGCAGGCACTGTGTGCCTACAGCAAGGGACTTCTGTGGTGTCAGTATTTCCTTTCTCCCCTTTCTGATGAGACTTGCCACTTCTTTCCCAATGCCCCCTTCTACTACCAGTATCAGTACAGCTTCTTTGTTGTCATAAGGGTTTGCAAAGCATTGCTAAGCTGCAGAGCTGAGTCTGGATCTCCTTTATATTCTTGTGTTGAGAAGATCACACCCATTTTGTCTCTTAATTGTCTGGGTAGCTGTCTCCTTTTTCCCCACAGCTACTGATTAGTTAGGGCTATTCAGGCATTTTCATTGCTCAACTCTTGTATTTTTACTATAAAGAGCAGACCAGTAATGGAGGCTGGTTCTAGCTGCTCCTGTTTAAATTGCTGTGGGACCTGAACCCTGTTCAGCCCTTCATCCTTGACAGAAAACTACCTCTGGCACTTTCTCTCCCCTGGAATGGGAATCAAGACCAGCACTGTAGTTCAGGAAGGCCTTAGAGCAGCTGCCAACTAGTAACAAGTTCAAGCCTTCCACCGACCCTTGGTGAGTACAACAATGCCCAGGAGGGAAAAAGCTTCCTCAAACCTGTTGCTAGCCGCCACGCAGCTAATTATTCCTTCTGTTTCTCTGAGCTCTCTCCAAATTTGTAAGTTCAGTGAGTGGCCAGTGATGAGAGCAGGAAGACAAGGGCGTTTGCCATCTAAGTCACACATACTTTGTCCATAGGGTCCTATATATAGTTTCTGAGTCACTTCAAATCACTCTTCTTTACAGGCAGTTTCAAATACTTCAGTGCCTTGCAATAGGTGAAGACATGAGATCAGTGCCTGAATCAAGCACTTGTTAACAATGCAGCAAAAGAGGGAGCAAGAGTTTGTGCATCTATAGCTAGTTCTATCTGAGCAGCTCTGAGCACTTTATGACTGTTAGTCACTCCTGTGCTGAGAGCTGCCACAAGGTCTACGTGCCATTTAAGCTGCTAGAATGGTATTTGGCATGGCAGTCATCTCTCAGGCAATTGTGTCTACAGATTGATTATCCCTCCCACAAACATATGAGGTCTGAGCTGTTAGGCTGCAGGCTGCTGTGGTCAAGGATGCTGGTGATTGAATTGCGACTGGCTATTTGGGTAATGCCCAACAGGAGAAAACTAATGGGGCCTCATATAGAATTGAGCAGTGAACATTCGAAAGCAATCTTTGCAGTATCTCCAGGTGGGCAACTAAAATACTTGAGTAACTTTTTCAGAGATTTAGCTGGCTTTTGCCCAAGGCTAGTCAAGCAAGGCTGTTCATAAGCAAAGATCCACAAAGATTTTGTTTGTCTAGACATGCTGCAGTCATGTTCCAGCATCTTATTAAGCTAGGAGCACATGAACAGGGGTAGGCTTTGTCCCAAGTAACTTACAATGTAATATCAGTCAGAGCAGGTGGAGACAAGTGAGGGAACAGAGCCTGATGGGCTTTAGCACATCAATTGCTTAAGCCTCTTGGCGCCTTTTGAACTGTGTAAGACGCCCTGCTCTGTGCTTTACTCATTGAGCTAACTCAATTTTTAGAAGTTCAGAAAAGAGCTTAAAAAAGTTAAGAGAAATCTCTTGCCTGTATCTCGAGCCCTTTCAGCCAGTTAATTGGCACGAGTGTCGTATTCATCCAGAGCTAATGTTATCGAGGTCTGGCTGAATTATTGATGGAGCTTGGCTGGAGCAAGAGACTGCTGAAGTAAGAATGACAATTCATCTTTTATCAGAGAACAGCAGCCTCAGTAAGCAAACAGTCAAAAAAGTAGAAACAAGTGCCACCAAGTTCAGGGAGAGGAAAGTTCCTTTGGTAAAATGGTGGGGGAAGAAGAGGGAAAAGTGTGGACAAAAGCATGAAACAGCAGCTCAGGTCTAACAAAAGAGTCAGACAAAACATTAAAAAGTAAGATGAGAAATTTAACCAAGTTAAATACTGAGAAGTTCAGGTGACGCTCTTTCCTGGTCAAGTAGAGGATGGAGTTAAGTACTTTTAAAATATGCAAAAGGTGGGGGATTAGAGCCAGGGAATCTCAATTACAGCACAGTGATGTGTGAAGCAGATAAAGGCGGAGGGATTATTATGAATGTTAGGGATCTCAGCGGCAGGCCTTTCAAGGACGCCAGTTCCGTGGCTAAAGGGGTTTGAAGTGCCGGTGGTGAGGACCGAGCGCTGGCTGGAGCAGGGACCCCGCAGGAGGGGGCTGCCCTCTCCTTGGTACTGAACGGCTGCTGCAGCAGCCCACGGTCGGGCATCTCCGGGAAGGAGTTTGCTTAACAAAGCTAATTCTGTGTGCCAGGGTTAAGGGCAAGATGATGTATGTGATGACCCTGCATGTTTTTCATCCCCTTCAGCTGTAGGAGAGGAGTAACCAGAACCCCACACTACATGGAGCACGTGAATTCCTGTTTAAAGCTCCCCCAGCCGAGCGGTCCCTTCTGTGGTGCTGGCAGTCTCACAGTCCGCGTGTTAATGTCCCTGGTGAGCTCTTTCTGACTGAATTCCCACAAGGCGCAGTGTGTATGCGATCCCTCAGGAAATCCAAATGGTAAAGAAACATTTCCGTCCAAGTCTTGTCCAGCCAATCTTGCCACTAACGGGACGAGTCTGGTATAACAGAGGTCAGTTCATATGTCAGTAGGCGGGAACCCCAGGGGTCCTCAGCCTGCTTCACAGCCTGAAATGCCTCCTACTTGGAGACGGGCAAAACATTTTCAGTGGAAAATAGAGGTATTTTGAAATAGAAGTGTTTCATAGCACATAGTTATTTTCAAGGAAGACTTTTGGTGGAATAACTGAAATGTTTAACTTCGCATACATTTTAAAATAACAAAAGGTTTTGAGAATACCACTGAAGCGTTACACTTGCCCTCCCTTCATCCTCCTGCAGTCCCTTTGGGGTTGACAGACAGAGAAGGTAGCACAACTCTCCCTGCTTCACCTCCCTAGAGAGCTGTAACAGGCTTGTAGTCGTGCGTGCTCTGACAGCAGCATCCCTGCGGTACTCCCCTCCTCCTCCCTGCACCTGCTCTGCAGCTCTTATCAGAGATGAGTGGGAGCAGTAGGCTCCAGCCCACGCTCACACAGTCTATTCCTTCGGTTTGTTAGATTAGTGCCGATTAAAAGCCGTGGCTGGAACAGCCACCTGCATGCTTCTCGGAGGCCCCTGGGGAGCGCAGTGCGAGGGAATACTGCAAGCCTGGCCTGATAAATGAGCTGTGATTTCAGGCCCATGAACAAATTGGTTTCCCCTTCCAGGAAGGCTCACAACTGTCAGCTGACTATTGCTTTATTTATTGCATTGGCCTTTGCAACTAGGGACTCTTGAGGCAGAGAGAAAGGGTTCCAATGACAGGAAAGCAGAAGCATTTGAACCCTTCCTTCAGCTGCAGCTGAGTGCCTCACCTTTGGGAACCAGACTTTGTTCTGGAAGCCTGATGCAATTCTGTTATGTGCTTCAAGACATGGTGATCTGAACCCAGACCAGGCAACAAATGGGCAGAAGATGGCAAATATCCAGGCCATAGAGGAAAGCAATTGAGAAATTACCTCATTCCTTAATGTGGCATTTGGTGCCAGACATAGTCTTAGCTTTTGTATTCCAGCAATGCCCAGTCTTCGCTGCTGTACAGACGCACTGAGGAGAGGTCAGGGACCTCTTTCTTGAAAGATAAAACCTCTCCCATTGCATGTTGCTTGTGCACCCTTAATCACAAAAAGATGGAGGTTGTCCTATGTGATTGTGTAAGCATATTCTGCTGTACTTCTGAACCCACTCTGCAACTCTGCTGAAGCCACGCTAACTGTGAGCCAAAATCCTTGGATAGCCAGGCCTTTTCAAGTTACTCTATGCTGAACTTCCTTCTGGAGCATCCCCACCCTTACTAGGTTCCCATGGATGTGTTCACGGGTATGCTGATTTCAGATACATCTACCCTCACTGTAAAGTGGTAGAAACCCACTCAGACCATGTGCAACTCCGGACAGAAGAGAGCGTCAAGGAAGAAGACTTCTAAAGGGGTGAGTCAGATAACAGAGAGAGAAAGCAGTAAGAGGAAATCAAGGAAAGAATTGTCATAAATGTTTATTCCTCCAAGGGAAGACCTTTAACCTTTCATGTACAGAGTGACAAGCATTTAAGGGTTGGCAAAAAAATAAATTCAGGCCTTCTTAAAGGTCAGACAGCCAATACGACAGGGAATAGGGAACAGTAGGAATGAAGAACAATCCTGGTGCTATATGTTGAACGCTTTCCAGTTACTAAAAAGACCATATTTTATCACCACAGAGTTATTTTACTTCCTTTGGGGAAGGAGGTAAATGGGGATCTCCCCATCACCTATGATGGGGCGATGGTCAGCAGTGGTGGTAGCAGAACCAGCAGGGTCTCTGCAAAGGGGCCAGAGGACCAGAG